TTCCATTTTCTCCATCACACAAACACCACCCTAGTTCAGGTCCTCATCATCTCTAGACTAGACTACTGCAAGAGTCTACCGATTGTTCTCTGCTCTCCAATTCATCATCCACACAGCTGCCTAACTGATACACAGGTATGATTATGTCACTTCCCTAGTCAATAACTGAAGCAACTCCTATTGCCTTGTTTGGCATTTAAAGCCCTTTTGCAACCTCATGCACTCCATGGGACAGCCAAATTGGCTTTCTTGCTATTCCTCACAAAGGGATATGTCTTTTCACAGACTGTCAACCATGCCTAGAAGGCATTCTCTCCTCATCTCCACTTCTTAGAATTCCTAGTTTCATTAAAGATCAATTTAACCATCAACCTCTACATACATAAAGTCCTTTCTTCCTCCCTCAGGCTAAAAAAAGTACATTGCATTTATTGTGTGTGTGTGTGTGTATGTATGTAAATAATATATTTCCATGTATACATGTCATCTCCCCCAATAGAATGTAAATTTCTTAAGGAAAGAAACTGATTCACTTTTGTCTCTATATGCCCAGCACCAGCACAGTGCCTGGTATGTAATTGCTTAATAAGTGCACTTTGATGAATAGATGGATAGATTGATTAATATCCAATAACTATATAGTTCTGATCATTATGTCTGGAGGGATTTCCAGGATCTAGAAGAGCAAAGAGTTTGCAGCTGCTTAGTAAATGTTTATTATTTATAATTGTGTATCGTGTCCTTGTTATTAGGAAATATTTATTTAATCATTGCTTATTGCTAACATTAAAAACACTGTATGTGGCATCCCAGTATCCATTTTAGTGGGAACCAATTCCAATATGCCAAGATCACAATGACTATTGTTCACTGAAATACAGAATTACTAAAAAGGAAGTAATTACCCAGTGAGTGGGGGCTCATAGCTAAAATTTAATTGACAAGACACACAAATCTACACAAGCCTAGAAAAATAGTGCCATCCCACAGGGAAAGGCAGAACTAAGGGCTAGAGGTTTAAGACTCTCTAGTAACCATAGAAAGCAGCGTACTTACTAAGCACTTCTATTGTATTAAGACACATAAAAACTGCCACAATAGTGTAGGAGTCCTCCAGTGAGCAAGTCAGCACTGCCTGGTGCTTATAAAATAACAATAAAAATATACCTCAATAAAGGAAATTTGATCAAGATATGCCAACGTGAACAAAAAAAATTAAAAAATTCTTTCCCAAAGAATGCTTGAGTCAAGGCCCAAATTATAGAAATAACTGAAATTTTATATTAGACATAATGAACATAGTAATTCTACCATTTAAAATGAATGGGTTGTAGTTAAAGCAGTTGTCAGAAGTAAATTTATACCTCTGAAGAATAATATTACCAAAAAGGAAAGAGTAGATGAATAAGTACTTTAATCAACAAAAGACCTAAAGAAGAAATTACTAAAAACTAAAGGTGAAATTGACACAATTGAAAGCAAAAAAAAAAAGCCATAACAAATGCAGGAAAATTTTGACAAAACTTGTCAAGCGTGTCATCTATGTTTTCATATCTACCTGTGCCTTTACTATCTGTCTGACTACTCTTTCTTGGTGTTCTTGACCACTTCATCACTCCCTTCCCACTCACTATGTTGGTATTCCTCCAAGTTCTGTCCTACACATTCTCTCCAGTGCTTCCTTCCTCAGTAATTTCATCTGTTCTCATGGGCATCAATAATTTCATCTGTTCTTTCTTATCTCCATGTAGGTGTCTCTCAAATCTATGATATATCTAGTCTGAATCTCTTCTCTGCATATTAGTTCCACATCTCTAATAATCTGGATAGCTCCACCCAGATGACTCACTGATATTTCACATTCAACATGCCCTAAAATGAGTTCTTCCTTTTACCCCCATAACCTGTCCTTCCTTTGATTTCCCTGTTCCCTCTGATGGCAGCATCATCTTCTTAGTTACCCAACTTCACAATTTTTGCAATATTTTTGACTCCTTACTCTCATGTCTAATCCATAGTAAAGTCCTATGGGTTCTCCCTTCACATTTTTCAGCACCTTCTTCTCTCCACTACCCAGCACCTTAGTTCAGGCCATCACTTCTTCTCATATGGATCACTGCAATAACCTCTTAACTGGCTATTATGCCTCAGTCTTTCCCTCCTCCAATCTATCCATCACACAACTATAATATAGTCCTCTTAAAATGCACAGAACTGAATATACCATTGCCCTGCACAAAAATCTTCAGGGACTTCTGCTTCTAAGATAAAATAAGGATTCCTTACCCTGGTATTTGAGACCCTCCACAGTCTGGCTCTAACTTCCTTTCCTAATATTTTCACACTTTATTTCTTGTACACTATGTTCCTGCCAAACTACATTGCTGGCTGTTCCCTAAATTTCACATGCTATCACTTACCCCTGTGTATTTCCATGAGCCTCCATGCCTGGAATGCATTCTCTGCTCTCTGAATTTCAGAATTCTTCTCTTCCTTCAATGCTGTAGAGGCCACCTTTCCTGTGAAGCCCCTCTTATTCCCATTCCCATTCCCCACCCCAGCTGAACATGTTTTCTCCCTCCTCACATTTTTTTGAAGTCCTTTGTCTAGATCATTTCTGACCCCAGTGTACAGTACTTTTTAACATACTTAACTATTTTCATGTAGCATCATCCATGGTAGAATATAAACTACATGACTGTGCCATATTTCATCTTTGTATTCCCAGCACGCAAATGCCAACAGCAGCTTTTGGAGGAAGGGGTAGAGGCTGTCACAGCACACCGTTTGAGAGCCAGTATAGAGCAGTGAGCAGCAAGCTGGTCTCAGAGTCAGAAAGATTTGAGTTAAAGTTCTGACCCACATGGCTGCACAGAATCCTGGTCTCGTCCTATAACCTCTCAGTGCTGGGGGAGGAAAAGGTGTCAACCTTCATTGAGAGAGGGAGTTTCCTTACTAGGATTTCCCCATGCCAGGGAAATCACACATTTAGCAAAAAAAAAAAAAAAAAGGAACACATTGTTGACTCATAATGAGCTTTGGATAGAACCTGTGATTTCAACAGTATTAAGAACTCCAGTGAGAAAACTCCATGTACCAATGCAGATCTACACCTACTCTGCTGAAAATTCTAGTCTTATAGGGTTTGATAAACATACCTAATATGTGTGTGTATATATAAAAAACGTATATAATATGTATACTATATATTATAATGCACATGTATATTACATTATGTATATTGTAATACTATATATACATATATTATCTGTATATATGTATTGTATGTATTGTATTTAAGCAGAAAAAAAAAGAGCTGGCTAGAACACTGAAAAGTTAAGTAGCTTGTCCAGGATCACACATCCAATGTGTTCATAGGCAGGACTTGAACCCAGCTCTTCCCAATTCTTGAGGCCAGCATGACATTATTATTATCAGCCCCATCTCCCCTAAAAGCTAAGGGTTCAGACATCATGGCCTTCCTGCTCAACTGTATAAAGTAATGCTTGAATACATCTTAATAATGAAAGGAAATCAACAGGGTCCAAGATAGAAAATAAACCCAGGGAGGGGCTTTCTCGAGGTCTGCCCTTAAAACACCCCCAAGATCAGTTCCCTTCCAGTATTTGAGGACTTCCTGTCTTCCTGTGTTTGTTGATAGGCTCCTGTGAGTACCTCATACACCGTGAATTTTCTGTGAGGTGAAATAAAGGGTATCCCATACCTGGTTTTCATTTTCTACCCTTAGTGCTATCAAAGCTAGGGGCCCCCTCCGCTCACATTTGGGGAAACCTGGACGAGAGCTTTCCCCCAAGCTTTATTTTGGAAACTTCCTGGAGCAACTCTGGGTAGAACCAAAGAGAACAGAAATCGCCTACACAGGGTCAAAGGTTTGGGGCTGGGAGGGGCCTCAGAGGTCACCCGATTCACCCTTGTCATCACTGAGATGGGAAAACGCAGGCCCACAGTCTACCGTTTGCCCAAGGATAGGAATGAGAAGGCAGAGCTGAGATCTCACCAGAGTGCCTCTGACTTCAAATCCATCCTTCACTCTCTACAGCATGGCGACACTGATGGGTGAGCCCTCAGAATTGGTAAGCCAGCAGCTTTAGGGGACCCTGAGCCCTTGGAAACAATGATTTTGTATTCAGTTTGCACATATTTTGCATTTACTTATCTATGAAAATGTCGCGCCCCCCCCCATCTCCTCTCCCCCTACAAAATGTAAGCCCTCTGAGGGCAAGGACTCTCTCCTCATTCTTGTCTTTGTATTGCTAGTGCCCAACCCAGTGTCTGGCACAGAGCAGAAATGTAACAAATGGTCATTAAAAATGAGTTTAATTGAAGTGCTTTGTAAACCCTAAAGTCCTATGTAAGCCATTGTTTCCTATTTTATGAATGACCATATGGGACTTAGATGAAGACAGAGATGGCATGTTCATCAAGTACAAAACTGGACAAGATAACTAACGGTCAGATGACTGAACACACATACAAGATGAACTCAATGGACAGGAATACTAGAGTTGAAACCAAGAAGATGGAATTTAATTGGGATAAAATCCTTCATTTGAGGGTTTTTTAAAAAAATCAACTGTACAAATGCAGGAGAGGGAAGATCTTTGTAACTGATTGCTTGAAATTCTGCTTGATCCCAAACTCATTAGGAGTCACTGATGGTGCTTTCTTTTCTTGCATTGCTAAGCTAAAGGGAAGTAACAGTATCATTCTCCTGTGTATTTGTCAGAACACACCTGGAGCTTTGTGATCAGTCTTGGCTTCCACATTTTAAAAGACACATTGACAAACTACATTCTCATTGCTTTCCTCTCATTCGCTGTCACACCTACAGGTGTATTCAACGCCTTTCCTTCCACTCACTCTTAATTCTTTTCAATCTGGCTTGTACGGACACAGAACCAAATCCAATGATCCTCGTTTTCTTGACTTTTCGAACAGCTTCTGACACAGAGAGGTAGTTTATGAAGAAGTGGGGTTTGGCAGGAGCACAAAGCATGAAAAGCAATGTGTAATGAGGCTAAAAAGGTAGGCTGGAGTCAAGCTGTAAAGGCCTTGACATTCCAAAAAATTTGTTATTTGATTCTGGTGTCAACAAGGAACTGCCGTAGTTTGTTGAGCTGACATGGTCTCATCTGCACTTAAGGAAATCCACTTTGGCGGCTGTGGGGAAGTTGGACTGGAGTGGGGAGAGGCTTGAGGCAGAGTCCAATTAGGAGGCCACTGCCACAATCCTAGAGTGGTGACGACAGGCTGAGCTGAGGTGGTCATGATGCAACCATAGAGAAAGGGTCAGATTTGAGGGATACTATGGAGGTAGAAACAGCAACATCTGGGAATGGATCAAATGCATGATATGAAAGAAAGTGAAGACTAGAAAACAATGCTGGGGTCATGAACTTGGGAGACTGGCACGATGTTGGTGCCTAATCTGGAAGAGGAGCGGGCTTGGGAAGAGAGATGGTGCTCTGTGTTGGACATTTTGAATTTTGAATTCCTCAAGGACAACTCATTTGAAATGTCCAAAAAGCAACTGGTGAAGTTCAAAGGGAAGATCAGGACTGGATATCTGGGAGTCATCTGCAGAGATATGTAATTAAACCCATGGGATTACCAAGAGAGAGTGATGACGGAGAAGACTTAAGACAGAATCTTGGAGGAACAGGGAAGAATAGGGGACACAATATGGATGATGGGCTAGCAAAAGAGACTAAGGAGTGGTCACAGGTAGGCGAGCCAGGAGTACTACTATAAAAACCAAAAATCTGGTTCAACAGCGTCAAACGCAGCTGATGGTTCGAGAACAACAATCAGGCCTGAGAAAATACCGCTGGATTTGGCAATTTGGTAACTTCAGAGTTAGTGCAATAGATAGAGCACCAAGCCTGGAATCAGGAAGACCTGAGTTCAAACCTAGCCTCAAACACTTACTATCTGTATGACCCTGGGCAAATCACTTAACATCGTTTGCCTCAGTTTCCTCATCTGTAAAATGAGCTGAGGAAGGAAATGGCAAACCGCTCCCGCTCCAGTATCTTTGCCAAGAAAACCCCAAATGGGGTCATGAAGAGTTAGACATGACAAAAAACAACCTATTTCAAAGACAGCAGTTTTAGTTAAATGATGAGACAAGAAGCCAGAGTACAAAGGATTGAGGAATGAGAGGATAGGAAATGGAAGTGTTGGGTAGACAGCTTTTAAAGGCTATAGCTGAATCAAGACAATAAGCATTAATTAAGTGCCTACTATATGCCAAGCACTATGCTAAGCTCTGGGGATACAAAGAAAGGCAAAATATTGTCCCTGACCTCAAGGAGCTCACAATGAAAGGAAGGAGAGATTAGGCTCAGTCCTAGGGGACCCTATTTCCAAAGAGAGAGTTCATGTTTTTTGGTCATTGTTTTTGGCTCATTATGCCCCTGTCCCCACCACAAAACTCTGGGAACACTCTCAGGTTTGGCTCATGCCTAGGTTTTCCATCGTTGTTGCTGTTTGTCCTTCATTTTCAGAAAGGACCAGTAGCATCATGTGAATAACGTCTGGAGGTTCCAGTGAGTTGGATTTAAGTGAGGCAGAGCTGCACAAAGTCATCAGCCTCACTCTCTCCTCCAGTCATCGAAGTCCAGTGACAAGACAAAAGCGTCAGGATGACTGGTGATGGCCTGGGATGCAGTGGCTGCCTAAGCTCTAAGCCCTCCACAGTGCCTGCTTCAGCCTCCTTCCTGGCAGCTCCTGGCAGAACAGATTGTTCTCTTCTGCCCATTCCACCTGAGGAAAGTGTAGCAGACACCACCCGACTCGCTGACGTTTGAGGCCTGTCAGTTACCCTCAACCTGGGTTAGCCCATCAGTCAAGGCAGTTTTACTGAGCTGTGGCCACATGGATGAGCAGTCCTGAAAAGAGCTCAGCAAGTCTTCACACCAGAGGCTGTAGTCCTCCCGAACACCCCATCCCCCCATACACTGCAGAGCACATGTGGGAGGGAAGAGAGGGGACTGTTTGAATGCTAGAAAGGATAGCCAGAACTGCAGAGTCATTCGAGGGGAAGAGAAGAAAAGAAAGGAATAAGCATTTATATAAGCACAAATTGTGTGCCAGGCACTGTGCATTTTTTACAAATATCTCATTGGAACCTCTATATAATTGTGTGTGATCCACTATATAATTATGTGATTATTATAGAGCAATAAAATAAATCTTCCTTTTGCATAGATTGAATCATTTACTCCCTTGCTCAAACCCTTCCATGGTTCCCTTTAGACTCCCTTGCTTGCAGGTATTCAAGGGCCTCCACCATCTGCACCAGCCCCATCTTTCCAAAGTCCACCATAACTTCAGCTGAATTGGACTATTTACTCTCAAATGCAACTTAATGCTGCCTCAACTCTATACCTTACTGTGGATAATCCCCATGCCTGCACTGCCCTCTCTTCCACATCTCTGCCCGAGGAAATCCCATCCATACTTTAAATGTCATTTCAAATTCCCTTCCCTTATCCCCTTCCCCTCCCCCACCTCAGACTTCACAAAGCCCTTCTCTTACATACTCATCATGTATTATTTCATATTATGGTTACCATAGTGGTCTGAGGCTGCCTTTCCCCCACAAAATGTGAATTGAACAAAACCCAGATGTGGCTATATAATCAACTATTTTTATCCTTTCTGAGGGCTCTTAAATTAGTGGTGTACCCTATGTTCAGGAGTAACCAGCATTTGGACCTATGTGGTATATGTATACCACATTTCCCCACAAGATTGTGAGCTTCATGATAGCAATAATAACTGACATGAGGTGTATGGGGTGTTCAGGAAGGACTAGCATGTCTGGTGCGAGGGCTGCTCATCCACCTTTGGTGCCCACCTTCATTTGGCTCTCACCTGTGGCTCCAGAAAACCTGTCTTAGGAGACAGACTAAACCAGGCTGAGGGTAACCAACATGCCTCAAACCTATCAGTGATTTGAGGGATGTCTGCTCTAAGCTTGTGAAGACTTCCCCAGCAGAATGAGTGGATGAGAACAATTTGTTCCAAAGGCCATGAAGGCGGCTGAAGCTGGCTCCGTGAAGAGCTTAGTGCTTGGTCAGACATGGAAGACACCAAGGTCATCGACCGCATCCCAGGTCATTGCCAGTCATCCTGACTTTTGTCTTGCCACTGGACTTCAATGACTCTGGAGGAGAGGGTGAGGCAGATGACTGTGTACAATTCTGCCTCACTTAAATCCAATTTATGGCAAGTCATCACCTCATTATGTCATCCATCCTCTTCAAAAGGAAGGACAAAGAACAATAACAGACACATTGTGCTTTAAGGTTTGCAAAGCACTTCACATCCATAATCTCGTTTTATCCTCACAACCACCAGGGAGGTATATACTACAGACATTATTACCGCTCTTTTGCAGATGAGATAACGAAACACAGAGAGGCTGAGACTTTCTTTGCCTTGGGACACTTAATTAAGATGGTGAAACAAGTAAAAACAGTTGAAGTGGTAGAGTTTAGCCTGGAGAAGAAAAGGTGAACTAAGAGAGAGGCATGATTGATGTCCTATAAGATTTGAAGGATAATTTTTCCTTGATGTTCCAGAAGACAGAATTTTTTAGCACCAATTGTTGAAAGTTATATGACAACATATATGGGTCAATATAAGGAAGAATATGTAGTCAGAGCTCTCCAACAATAGAACGGGAGTTCCTCCAGAAGTAGCGAGCTCCCTATCCCCTTCAGTCCCTAGTTGAGACTGAATGACCCAAATAGGTAGGTATATTGTAGAAAGGGATCCCTGCATTGAGGTCTTACCACAAAGGTCACTTGAAGTTCTAAGAGAAGATGCTCCCAATCATAGAGAAAAGCCTGCTACCACATTCTGAAGTCACTAGAATTTCCTATTCCAATGCCTCCTCCAGCACCTTCCATCTACTCTGTACAGAGCTTTTACCTATTCACACATATTCATGTTGTCTCAGTCATCAGAATATAAGTTCCTTGAGGGCCAGGACAATTTTTCACCTTTCTTTGTATCCTCACTGCTTAGCACAGTGCATGATACCTGGTGAGCCCCTACTAAATGCTTGGTAACTGAATGCACATAGTAAATGATTAATTGCAAATAATTACTATTACTTTTTTTTGAATTCTTCCATCAATGATAGAAAATTGAGAATCCTGCCTCTGTACTGCAGAGATATACCATATTTGGGTCATAATGTACTTCTGTAACATTATATGAAATTAAGTTGATTTTAAGTATTTAGGTATCATACTTTGTGCCAGGGACTGGAAGAGACAAAAACCAGATAGACAGACCTTGTCTTCATGGAGATCAGTCTGGTGGGGTGAGGGGGTGAGGGGGAAAAGGTTCCCAGATAATTAAATACAAAATGAGCCCGAAGTAATTTGAGGGAGAAGGATGCTTAAAACTGGGTAACAAAAGCTGAGGGACAAGAAAGTTCTCTCCTGGGAGGCAGCATTGAGCTACTAAGCCTTGAATGGAGCTAGGGGGTTCCAAAAGAAAAATGAGGAAGGAGAGTATTCCAGATCGGCCAAAGGCAAAGAGCAAAAGTCAGAGATGCAATGTCGGGCGGGAGAGTTACATGGAGAACATAGCTAGATATCGAGTATTAGCTATGTGCCAAGCATCGTGCTAAACCGCCAGGTATATAAATACACAAAAGCAAGCCAGTCAGGGCCCCTTACGTGAGCACCTTCTTTATGAGATTCCAAGTTATCTTGCACGGATCTGGTACATACATAGTTGTTCGAATGTCGACACCCCATTTGACTGTTAGCTCTTCGAGATCTGGGATTAGTCTTGCCTTTCTTTGTAGCTCCAGATCTTGTACTGTGCCTGGCACATAATGACAGCTGGGTAAATTTGTGCTAATTCAAGGACTCCTAATGGGGAATGACTACGGTTAACCAGGACTAGAAAGGGAGGAGGCTGGGGAAGGGAAGGGAAGGGACCGCTGAGGGCAATGCCACAGGTAAGGTGAAGGTGAACGAAACATTTTTAATAATCTACAAGCAACTATGTTAAGCACCAGGGATCCGAAGAAAGGCAAAATTTTACAGTTTCTGCCCTGAAGGGATTCCCCAGTCTAGTGGGGAAGACAGCATGCCAACAAGTAAGTGTAGGATAAACTGCAGGTAATCTACAGAAGGAACGAGCTAGCCTGGAGGGGGACTGGAAAAGGTAGGATGTTAGTTGGGACTAGGAAAGTCGGGGAGGAAGAGAAGGAGGAAGAAGGGAGGGGGAGGGGAGAAGAAGGGAGAGGGGAGAAGAGGAAGAAGGGAGGAGGAAAGGGAGAATGGAGTAGGAGGAAGAGGAGGACAAGGAAAGGGTGGGGAGGGGGAGAAGAAGGGAAGGGGAAGGGAGATGGAGAGAAGAGGGAAAGAGAGGAGGAGGAAGAGAAAGAAGACGGGAAGGGGAGGGCAGGGGAGGGGAGGGGAGGGAAGGTGGTGGTAGAGGTATGACGGCCAGCAAGCGCAACGTCTTGTGCAAACGCCACGAAACCTGTATCGGGGGTGTCCAGATAACGTGGGTAGGAAGACTGGGTAAGGCTTATATTTGAGCCCCTGTACGTTATTGAGTAGGGGGGCGCCAGGACTTAGTCGGACGCACTGCCCTTTAAGAGGATCGCTCCGACGGACCACCGAGGCACCTCCAGACCACCTAGCCACCTCCACACCACCTAGCCCCGGCGCTCGCCGCTCCCATGGCAACAGTCCGCTCCGTCCCCCCCAACAAGCGCGTCGTCACGTGCCGCGAACCCTACCCCTCCAGGGGGCGTGGCTTCCTCGAGGAACGGTTGACAGACCAGGAAGGCGGTGGAAAGTGCGTGGCGCGGGACCTTGGAGGAGTCGGGTGGGTAGCGGCCTAAGAAGTCACCTGGACCTACGGGGGCGTAGGAGTCCGGCCCCCGGGCTGGAAACGTGCTGTTTGTAGGCACGTGGGGTTGCCAAGCTTTCTTCACGTGACTGGGCGGGGCTGGGGTCCCCGCAGCCAATGGAGGCCCTGGGAGGCGGTGCCTGTGACGCGGCGGGGACCTATCAGGGAAAGGGGGCGTGCTGTGCGGGCTGGGGAGGAGAAGAGAGGGCTGGCCTGGGGGGGAGGAGGGTGTGGAAAGTGCTTGCCGGGCCCCGCCCCGTCTCCTGAAGCAGCCTAGCATCCACGGCCGCCGCCGCTGCCGCCGCCGCAGTGGGTCATCGGGCGCGTTGAGCGCGGGGTGACGCTCCGCGACTGCCTGGAAGGTGAGCGCTGGGAGCCCAGCGGGGACTCGGGGGGGGGCGCTGACGGAGCATCTCGGGGCAGGGGAGGCCGAGGAGCGGGAGGGTCTGGCCAGCGGAGGGCGGCTGCCGGCTCCCTGCGGCGTGCCCCCCCCCCCAGTCTCGCGCCAGGTAGCTGCGGGGGGAGGGGGGAGCCACGCGCGCTCCAGGACCGGCACATCGGGGCATGCGCGCCCCCGCGGGGGGGGAGAACGGAGCGCGCCCCGGGCAGAGGGAGGGGACAGCGCGCTCGCAGGGGGGTGGGGGGACAGTGCGAGCCCGTGGGGGGAGGGAGGGGTGTCTCCTGTCTCTGGCAGCCCCCGGCCGGGGGAGGGGGCAGGTGGGCAGGCCCGAGACACCCCGCAGGGGGAGCGCGGGCCGGGGGCGGTGCCCGGGATAGGAAAGTTTGTGCGGGTCCCCGGGGTGGGGCTGAGCGGAGCCCCCCCACCGCCCCTCCCCCCCGCCCAGTTCCCGCTGCAGAAGGACCACCGCCCCGACTCACCATGGCCGACGAGATCGACTTCACCACCGGAGACGCCGGGGCTTCCAGCACGTACCCGATGCAGTGCTCGGCCCTGCGCAAGAACGGCTTCGTGGTGCTCAAGGGCCGGCCCTGCAAGATCGTGGAAATGTCAACTTCGAAGACGGGCAAGCATGGCCATGCCAAGGTGACCGCGGCCCCTGGAGCGCCCCCTCCCCAGCCGGGGCTCCTGGTCCTCAGAACCCTGGGGCAGCCCCAGTGGTCTCCCAGGACCCCCGAGAGAAGCTGCCTCAGGCCGGGCTGGGCTGCTCCCCAGCCGCCTGCAGCGCTGTGGAGGGTCGGTGATGTTGGGAACCGATGCACTATAATTCCATTCCTTTAGACGGGACTTTCTTTGTCCATCCGTGCTGCATGCAGGCATTTGGGTTGTAGTTTGCCGTAGTTGGGAATCTTGGGCACACATCCCTGGCTTGGACCATTGTGATGCTTTTTGCGGGATGGAGTCAGAGGACCGTTATTGATTGAGCGGCTACTCTATTTCAGGCTGTGCTAAGCACTGGTGGGGTTACAAAGAAAGAAAAAAACAGCCCCTGCCCTCCAGGAGCATTGTGCAAACAACTCTGTACTAACAAGAATCCTATCTGTATGAGCTCAGGCAAGCCGCTTGTACTGCCTGTGTCTAAATCTCTGAAATGAGGGGGTTTGGGTTAAAGGGTCTCCCAGTACCCTTTCAGCTCTAAATCTGGCACCCTCATTGGTATCCCTACCTCACATCTTTCCCCGCATCTATCTAATCTGCTCTCCAGAAAGTGCCAGAGTGATCTTCCAAAATCATAAGCCTGACATTGTCACTTACTACTTAGTAAGCACCCCCAGGATCAAACACAAGGCCTGATGCCCACCAACCCTTTGAGCTTTCTCATCCTTGAGATTCTTTCCAGCATTCCTGAGGTCTACCCTAGCCAGCTTTCCTGCTGCTCCTCTCATGCTAGGCCATCTCTCTGCCCTTTGCACAGTCTGCTCCCCTGCCTCTTTGCTCACTTTTACCTCTTCCTTCACCATCTTTGAAGCTTCAGAGTTCAACTCAGGAAGTCATCTCCAACAGGAGGCCTTCTCCTAACCCACCCTACCCCCACCCCATCTGCCAGTGCCTGTCCTCCAAGATTAGCTTGTATTTCTTTTGTATTTACTGTATCCTCTGATGGAACTTAAACTCCTTGAGTGCCAGGACAGTTGCATTTTTGTCGTAGTATCTTCATTGCCCAGCTGGGGGTTGGCAGGTGGGGGCTCTCATTTTTTTCCTTAAAGACAAGAACATATCTCCTCTTTGAGAGAGGAGAATTTCAAACAGTAAAATTGATATTTTGCTCTTGAAGTAAATTAGGTGTTAGACTGAGCAAAAATTAAACTGGCTTCCTTTTATGTGTTAGGTTCACCTGGTTGGAATTGATATTTTCACGGGCAAAAAATATGAAGATATTTGCCCTTCTACTCACAACATGGATGTTCCAAATATCAAGAGAAATGATTATCAAGTAAGTAATTTCCTCTCAGTAGATTTTTTTCATTAAATATACATGGTTTGTTACAAGTTATATAAGCCAGAGTACTTTTATTTATCTCTTGCTTCTAAACAAGAAGGGAATATAAGGAAAGTATCCACTTTCCACTGTAGACACTTGAAGGGAAAGTGATTTTCATCTTTCTGCAATAGAGTTAATATTAGATATTTTTCAAAATTATTTTCACTTCGTAGAAAGTTGAACTGTCATTTTAAAACATTATGTAGTGATCTATAGAACAGGTGCTGATTGCACATGAAATGGTTTCTTGAAGTGAGTCTAAAGTTTCATACAGTTAATGAAACTGCCACTTTGTGCTTGCTACAAAAAGTCCAAATTTCAGAGAACAAGGTATTTCCCTTCTACTTGAGATGCTTTATTTTTCATCTGGTTGGCTAATCACAAATGCAAATCTTCAAGTAGAAGTTGGCCTCACATTGGGCTAAGTTTCATGCCAGCCAAGGTTATATATTAACACAAATGGATGTTTTATACTTAGCAAGATGAAAAAAATTTAGAACCTTGTAAAACATAAAGTTGGAAGAAGTAGTCACCAAAAACCCATAGGTACAAAAATATTTATAGCAGCTCTTTTCATGATGGCAAAGTGTTGGAAACTAAGGGGGGAAGCCTGGCAGTGGGGGAATAGCTGAGCCAGTTATGGCATATGAGTGTGAACGGAGTACTCTGATGCTTTAGAAATGACAAAAAGGATCAGAAAAACCAGGGAAGACTTATCTGAACTGATGCAAAACAAAGTGAGCACAGCTAGAACATTGTATGCACAGTGACCCCAGTATTGTAAAGATAACCAACTCTGAATGACTTAGCTACTGTGACCAATACAAAGATCCACAGCAATCCCAAAGGACTCATAAAGAAACATGCTGTCCAGCCTCCAGAGAGAACTGATGAACTCAGAGCAGGTGGAAGCATACTCTTTTCCTTTTTCTTAGTATTTTTTTTCTTTTGGAATATGACTAATGCAAAAATATGTTGTGTGTGACTTCATATGTATAATGAGTATTACTTTTACTTCTCAATGGATGGGGGAAGGAGGGAGAGAGGGAAAGAATTTGAAACAGAAAATTTTTTAAAAATTGAATTTTAAAAAAGGAAGAAGCTATACAATTAATAAATTTTCCTAAAAGTTGGTAAAGACTAGATCATTGTGTTTTCATATTGCCTTTTTTATGTGAAAAGATTATTTTAAAAAAAAAGTCTCAGAGGGTGAAAGGGAATGAAGACAGTAGCTTAACCGCATCATTTAATTTGAGTCTTTGCCCCATGCTATTCATTGACCATTTTGTGACTGGTAACATGAACAGTTATGCTCTTGGGTTTCAATCCCAGTTACACATTTAATTCTAACCCTTAGTCCTAGTGTTTGCTTCTTTGGGAAACATTAAAAGCCAAACATAACTGCCCTAAAAGGATGCATACTTGGTCAGAGTGCTTTATATATAGTCTTTTTCAGCCTGTGCTTCCTCGAGAGTTTTTAAATACCACACACGGCCATGTAGATGTTACTTCACTTTCCTATTAGTGAATATCAAAGAGGGAGATAGACATATAAGAATACTGATTATATTGCACAGAGGGAAATCTAAATTCAGATTGTTTGATTCACTGACTTCCACTTCAGATGTAATTGCTTGGTATATCTTTCCATGGTATCATTATGCACACATGCGTATTTAGAGTGAGAAGGACATAATCTAGAAAAGAACACTAAAAGCAGAAGAAAGTTTCTTTTCTTTACCAAGCTTTGTCATTCATCCCTCTGGTTCACCCGTAAATGGTGATGACAGTGGTGTGTGCATTTTGCCTTTATTTCACATGAGGTCAGTTCAACAGATTTACAAGCTTCTGCTGCATGAGGAGAGAGGACTGTGCAGGTGCTTGGGTTAGGACGACGTAAAGTTAGATTACACGTGGTGCTTACTTACCCTTTCAAAGCTTGCAGTCCAGGGTGGGAGGGGCAACGTGAAGGGGGGAGAAGGAGATAAGGTGTGGCCACAGATAGAGATGATGTCAATGTCTAATAAAAAATATTACATGGCGGCATATTGGGAACAAAGCAAAGAGCTCTTCGAAGACCAAGGCAGGGTCTGGTTCAAGAATAGGGGAATGGGGAAGAAAGAGTTTGTTAAGGAGGCCACATAACTCGAGTGGACATTTAGAAGGGAACAGCTATTTGCTTGTTTATGCATTGTTAGAGTTGGGTGGGGAGAGGAGAATGAATAGCATTAGTACAGGCTGCTAGTAATGAGCAGAATCCTCCAGTCGCTGAGGAGAAAGACCAAAGATGAACAGAGTTTAGTACAGGTTGTGTTGGTGTTTATCGGTAGGACAGTGTCGGATGCTCCTTTCTGTTACTTTACATCCATTCTGGAGCTAAATGGGAGACACTGATCTTTAGAGGTCCTTCTGCCTTGATCAACAGGCGTTCAGCCGCACTGTCTTCATTAACCCAGGGTTCACTTTTTTTTTTTCCTGGCTAGGCAGTGGGGTTAAGTGACTTGCCCAGAGTCACACAGCTAGTAAGTAAGTAATCTGAGGCCAGATTTGAACTCAGGTGTTCCTGACTCCAGGGCCGGGGCTCTATCCACTGCGCCACCCAGCTGCCCCCATGGTTCACTTTCACAGGAAGTCCTTGGAACACATTCGGTTAAAAATCTCAGCCCCGGTGTTGTAGTTTAGTTGAAAATGAGGAATCTTGTTCTTCCTGTGCACTCCTACTGAAGCCTACAAAATTCTAAGCTTCCTTACCAGAGGACTGCATTTTGTATCTAATCTATCTTGATATTTTCCTCAGTGGTTAGTGCAGGCCTTTGCATGTGGCTGTGCCATCAGTATTTGTTGAGTTAACGATATCTTTATACTCTCTCTACAAAGGAAGAAATATCTGTCCATTTCAGTAATTGAAAAGTAGATTTAAGCTTCGCATTTACTGTAATGTCCTTTGCCTGTTCTTCCTTCTGTTGGTCCGAAGCTACCATGGGAAAAGATTGCTAGTTGCTTTGAATTCTCTTTTTAAGACATAGATCTTATTCATATATTTTGTTTTTGTGTAGCTCTTGGTATCCTTGCTACCCTCCCAGGGAGCCATTACTTATAACAAGTAATTTTTTTTTTAAAGGAAGAAGAGGTTAACAAAAACCACAGAACCATTCAGCATGTAGAAACAGTCTGTTATAAACAATGTACCACATGTGGATCCCCAACTCTGCAGAAAAGCAGAGGACATCTTTTCTTACAGCTCTTTGGGGAGCCGTTTAGTCATTATAATTTGACAAAATTTGGTTTCAGTCATTTTGCTGTTCTTTCTACGTATGTTGTGTTAGTCATTGCATATTGTTTTCTGATTCTGCTTACTTCACTTTGCATCAGGTTGTAGAAGTCTTTTCATATTCTTCTCTTTTCATCCCATTCGTTGTTTCTTATGGCACAGTTATATTC